TTCACGCTGCATCTTGTGGTATATTTGGTTTTCAAATAAAACGTATTTATTAATGTGATTTTCTAGAAGAAATCGAATCGGGTCGAATTTGTTAAATAGTGAGCTTTTTAAAATACTGTTAGTTTTACATAAATATCAGATTTATTATTGGTAAAGTATTATCTTCCCAAAAAAATAGAAAGTTGAAAAGCGACTTGAATGGAAGAATCTGATTATAAGATCTTGTACGATTCATATTAGATTAGTTAGAATTATATTGTACTATCTTATAAGACTCATATGTGATCATTCAAGGTTTTGTACGATGTTATATATGCGGGTACTTCTTCTTGGCTTTCTATGACTTCTTTATCTGAACGAGTCCTTTATTTAAAATTCATCATATGAATGAAATAAAATAAATAAGTAGTTCTCATCTTAATCCATGAAATGAAAGTCATAGAAATACATGACAAAATCTATTTGATCGATAATTATTTAAATGAGTATATTTGAATCGAATAGATATTTAATTGAATTCTATATAAACATTATATTAAAATGCAATATATTTAAGTAAGTTAAAGTTTATTTCAATTCAGAAAACTATCATTACAAAAATTATTTATAAAAGTTAAGATAACCTCAAACTTAGGATCTTAGAAGAATTTGGCTGTCAGACTTTTGAAGAATCTTCTAATAAAAATCATATAACATTTACTGTAACCTCTGATATCCGGTGTTCGCAAGATCTTATACAATCTATCTAAGATGTTTTCATCTAGAGGATGCCCATGTCATACAAACCGCTTTAAAACCGTCAGTTAACCGCAGTTTACCGTCCGTTTGAACGGCCAGTTGACCGTTCCGGTTACCGCAGTTAACTGCATTCCACCGGCGGTTTTCTTCATGCTCTTACTCATATGTTAGGATCGAATCTAGCCTACAGTAAAAGTTTCAATCCACATCTAGCTTTCACTTAGACTTTATTTAAATCTCATCAAAATCCATTTCTAGCATAACAATAAAAGAGCATTTTAAATCATTGAAATATAAAAAATCACTTATCATTATTTAACATCACACATGTTCAACAAAATCAACTTGTAATGAGACAAACGAAAAAAATGCGTACATTATGTTTTCACACAGGAAGAATGCGTCTACAAAAACACGAGTTACAACATAAAATAACATAAATCAAGTACATGTTCTCCTATTCTAACTACGACTGTATGATAAAAACAGTTAATAAAGAAGTATTACATATCATAATAATAATCATGTAACATATAAAAAATGAGTGTTTTTAATAAAGTAAAAATATTTGAATTAATAAAATAAAAGTAAAAGCGATATTTAACAAGAATCTTTCTAATTTGCAAATGAACCAATAAAGTCATCAAAGCTGTTTTGCAGTGCTACTTGTGGTGCAGGTTGCACTGTTATATAACCAGCACTACGTTTTTTTCTCTTCAATTCATTGCGTCTCTTTTGAAGAATGCATTCATGCAAGGTTGACCATTCAGACTGTAACATTTCATGATTCATCTTGAATCTTGATCGAACTGCTTCTAAACAGAACCATATTGAAGAAGTGACTATGATAAAAACTGATTTTTGTTTTACCTTTAATAATTAAGTATCGTTCATCCTTTACCAATTCCTCTTTAGTAATGGTTGTTATTTCTTCGAACATAAATAACTTATCCATTACAAGAGCAACATAACGACCCATATGAGTTTGAGCACCATATAACTGAAGTAGATCTACAGATACGCCTTCTGAATTGACATAAATCTAAAAAAAAACAACAGCCAAAAGTTCATAAGCAAAACCTGCTAAATATAACTCACTAATGTAGATTTAAATGGTGAATCGTCAACGATTATATTTTCATCACCAAATTGATCACCATTTAATGCGACATTGATCTTGAAAATAAAAATTTATTACTTAAAACGAAAACTAGTGATACAATTGATATTTACCTTTTTCTTTGATAACTCGACGAGAATAAAACGATTTTTGATACATGAATGGAATATTGATATCTAAAAATAAAACTGATTGTGCAAGAAGTTTCAAAACAAATTAACAAAAAAGATGGAAACCATATACATAGATATTATAAATTTAAAAAATTATCTTCAACAATCGATTCATTCATTATGTCCTTTATCTGATGAACAAGTCTTGAACAACTTCAGTCAATCCAATGAGAAAGAAAAAAGCGACATCTTAGTATAGCTTTAAAATGTGAGTTTTGTTTCCCTAAATCTTGATGAAACAAGTAGAACAAGAGAATTGTAATCATATTAATGATTATTTCTAATTTTTTTTATATTAGTACATATAGTTTGTTTGTTTTTGTTTATCGTTTCATCGTTAAAATCAGCTAGTCGAAACCGATCGGCAACCACGGTTAACCGTCCGTTCTAGCTTCAACCACCGGTCACCTCTGGTTCTTAGCACAACCGACGGTTACCGACGGTTTTATGAAAAACAGAGCGACATGGGTGATCAGATCTTAAGTGAAAGCAATCATTTTTTTCTCATTCATTGTTATTAAAATATTTTCGGTGACTGACAAATGTATTTGAGTTGAAATATTTCTGATATAGTATCATAGAGTAACTTTTGATGCCGAACTTGATTAATAGGAACCTTATTTATACCATAGTTTTAGTTACTTTATTATTTATAAAATAATCATGATTTTAGTTGTGACAGTATCAACATAAGCTTCAAATCTTCTTTTCAAAAATATATTAGAGAATGTGTGGAAGTACTAATATCGATTTTTGAAAAAAAGGCGCTTCACGAAAATGCTTATAACGTTTAAAGGGAATGTGATAGAGACCTGCGGTTTTCACCGTTGGATAGATCCTGACACGGGACGTACTACTATCGGGCAGCCAACCATTCTGATTAGATTCAACATAGGGAATTTTTCTTTGTAAGCTTGAAAAAATCGTCAGACAGGGAAAGTCCGATGAATTTCAACTTTTAATTAGTGCAAATGATAGCCCGAATCAAGATCTACAAATCTACGCAAACCGCAGGTTTTTATCTTTTATCGTTCAAAAGTTATACGCGTTTTTCAAAAAGGTATATACTACTTTTTCCCTATAGAAAATATCGAAAAATACTTAAGAGAGTGTCCATGAGACTATCGAGGATCATGCTAGATATCGAAGCACTCGTCAAAATTTAGTTTTTTGATTTGACATTCTCATCTTACTCAGCATCATCTAAAACCTCTAAATCCAAATTTTTAGCGCATTTGGTCAAGCCAATAAAAAATTAGCCCAATTTTACTTTCAAGTACTCACGAGGTGTTATGATCCAGCAGTATGTGGATCATATGACGGAGAAGAGATATGGCTGGATAGCTCAGTTGGTAGAGCATCCGCCCGGTACGCGGTAGGTCCGAGGTTCGATTCCTCGTCTGGTCATTTCTTTTGCTCCGTTCTGTTGTCATACTATCTCGCTGGACAGACCTCGGTGTGAGATTTCGATCCTCACACGAGGCTATTAGCAAAATATTGTCAAAAATTCTTGATATAAAGTTGAATTTTTTAAAAGACAGGAGACTAATGAAATTTTTAGTGTAATATACCAAACGATAGAGCTTGAAAAGCTGAACAAAACTACCTATTTAGATTATATTTTTCAGTGGGCTAAACTCATTTTATTAGTTAAATACTGTCCATGACTACCTATTTTTTAATGAAAAATAGGTCAATTTTTTTCATTGTTTTCGCTATTATACAGTTATTATGTCTTGACCCAAACTGATTTTGACATATATTGTACAACTTTTTCTCCTCTACAAAATGGCTTAAACAAAGTTTAAAAAAAAGTGCGGACTGGTGACGAAAATAGGCTCGCAATGTTGACCAATTGTATATTATTTATAGTAAAAAGGACTAATATCAACTATTTTCCTATGAAATTGTAGTCTAATTTTAACTTTCAAGCAAAATAAATATCATATTCGAAATCAGGGCAAAAAACTACATCATATCATATGAATTTCATCAAAAAGAATTTTTTATGAAAAACA